TTTTATATGATTTTATATGTTAATAAATTTGATTTTTTTTATCCATGGCTTTTGAAATAAAATTTTAGAACCTGATTGATTTATTTTTTTAAATATATTATTGTAATTTATATTATTGATTATTTTTATGATTTTTCAATGAAAATGACGTTATTGCATATATAAATTTCGATGAGAAAGAGAGAGTTAAAGGTGTGTTTTAGATATTATAATTATTCTAAAAAAAATAAATAAAAGAACTAGGCTTTTTCTGTTTATTTACTGTAACGTTTTATTATTTATTGATTTTTTAGTGATGGCCTCGAGAAGCGGGCTCCGGTAGTTGGCCCGGCTCATTTTACTATAGTTTTTTTTAAGGGTTGGCTTGGAGGAGCATTTTTTTTATAGGGTTATCCTTGAGAAGCGGGCTCAAGTAGGCTTACACAAGTAGTCCCAACCCGTAACCCTCGTAAAAAAAAAAAAAAAAAAATATATATATATATATATATATATATATATATATATATCAAAATCAGTGTGCCGATGACTATATATATATTCTGTTTGAATTTTGTGTGATTTATTTGAGGACGTTAGAGTGGTTTATGGGTAAAACTTAAAGAATAAAGGTTGTTCGTCTATGTGTCTACTAGCTCTCTATAAAGGTTTGTGATTTTTAAACCTATATATAAAGAGTTATGACCATTTTAGTGCAGATTGGTCTTGAAGCATCACTCGCTGGAATTTTTGAAAAAAGAATGGACAATGAATTTTCGAGTTTTAAGAAAAGAAATTTCCAAAATTTCATGAAGGAAAATATGTTTATTTACTTGAATCAAGTTAATTAGGGTGTATATTTAACCTAAAAGTTTAGTAGATACCTAAGCAATGCATTAAATGAATTAATAGCCAACTCACGCATTTTTGTCTCAAATCTGCCACCTCTCTCTCATGACTCATCATTAACTTTTCATTCTTCCAAATTAAATCCTACCATTTGTACACTTACTTAGACCAAGACTTTAAGCATGTATATATATATAGAAAGAGTGCAAATGATAAGAAAATTTTTAGGCAACCGTAGCCACCAAAATTGGGAGAGAAAAACGGTAAACAAGAGAGGAAGAGGAAAGGAAAAGAAAAAGAAATAGAAAGAAAAGAAAGAAGGGGAAAGCCTAACCAGCTTTTAGCAAATTCAAGCAAAGTAAGTAGGTTTCATTCTTTGTTGATTAATGTTTTTAAGTTATTTTTTAGTGTTTATTTCATGGGTTTGTAATAATTTTTCTATGGATTGCTATGGTTGTTTGTGTTAGTGTTAGGGCTTGCTAAATTGTGATGGATTTATGTGTTTTGTTGTCATGCAAAGCTTGTTTGATAGGTTTAAATGTCTGGATGGGTTGAAAAGAAAAAAAAAGAAAAAAAAAGGTATGGACCGAATGGATTGAACTTAACCTAGGTTTAGTAAGCTTAACTTGTAAAGAAAAAGGAATACACTTTTAGAGTTTTCCTAAGCTAAAACCATTTGGCCAAGTGGGGAAATGGGAAAAGAATTGATCTTTTGAGAAAATTAAGGGCATAGAACTCAAGTACAATTTAATTAGGTATACATAAGTAAGTTGAGATGAAAAAGTAATATTTGATCACTTTAAGGACCTATTCGACTTAAACCCTAAATTGTGGGGATTTGAATTCCAATCTTTCAATTTCATAATTAATGATTTGAGTACACCCTAATAAGTATAAGAGGACGTTTAGATAGAAGAAAAAAAATTGCTAGGTGAACCGAAATTTTGACCTAGACCATTTAAAAGCCCAATTCGACCTCAAAATGCCCCAATTTGAGTTCGGAGAGAACATGTCACCTTAGTATTTTTTAACCGATTTAAAATGCTACTAATTACATATGTTAAGTGAAGGATAAATTGTATGATAAGACTTACTAAATTTAATGGGAGGAAAGTATTTATGTGCAATATAAAGTTTATGACTTGATTAATATGAGTTAACGATAATTGATTTTCCTTGGGGAAAATATTATGAAAGTGATATGGGAATATATCAAAAACTCTACGTGGGTTGGATCTTGAGAATGATTTGATAGTCTAGGGTCCGACACCTATAATGTCTTTTTTTCTTCCTATAATTTATTTTATATTTTTAAAAGTCTAGCCATCAATCTCATGATAGAATAAAAAAAAAGTTGGTTAATTATTTTAAATCTTGATGTGTTTTAGGATTGGATCACCAAGAGGCGAAAGAAAACCCTTAAAAGAATATACATATTGTCATAGCATAACTGGATCTCCAGCAAGTGATGTATATTATTGATCCCTTTAATATTCCCGAACCAATATTAATTATATACTTGACATTGATGTTAACAATTATATCCGATTATTTTATTCTTATTGTTTAAAATTTTTCTTCAATTATTTATTTCTTATTAAATTTCTCATTAAATTAATTTTTTAATTTTTTTGATCTAATTTTATTTGTTAATAAATTCGATTTATATTAATCATCAAAAATAAAAATTTCTACTTATATTATGCCATACGAATCGTTAACCTTATATATGTAACGGTTGTCCGCTTGCAACGTAGTACGGATATCCAACTAGTTGATAAGGCAAAAATACCTTCCCTCAACTTTGGGTCCAAGCCAAAAAATAATTTTTGAATAGAAATTCTATTACTTAAAATATAATTTTGAAAGTTCAATGATGGCAAATAATCGAAGAATCTTTTATTACACAAACTATTTGACGTGGACCAATGCCATCAATATGTGCGGATATATAATAGATTCAAGGTCACCGTATTATTATATTGAATTTTTGTTTATAATTTTTCTTTTTTTACAACAGAATATTAGCATAAGTAAGACTAAGATTTCCTACATTAAAAAAAAAAAAAGAATAGTAAGATTTCCTATAAGACATGTATTTTGACTTGGTGATGCATAGGCAATTAACACCTAGAATTAAATTAATTAGAAGAAATTTTTATGAGGCCTAGTTAGACAATCACGCTAAGAGTTAGTTCATTCGAAAAATTTATATCCTCTTTGATGATTGTACTAATTTCTGGATTGCCGTGGTTTGAAATAAGTTTCTGCGGTCTTTTAAAATTTGGGAGAGACAATTTTGTGAATTTGTAAAAGAAAATAAATGTATTACTTTTGGTTTGGTGGTTTAGCTAATTTTTTGTTTTTATGTGGTTTAGATAAATATTTATGTGGTCTTTTTCAGATTTGGTGAGATAATTTTTATGAATCTTTATATGATTCAAGGACGAGTGTTTGCTTGAAATCATTTTTTATTTTATAGGATCAATTGGGAAATAAAGTTATGTCAAGTGAACGATTCCTTTAGTTTGTAGACGGAAGGAGCAAATTGAAAGTATGATGAAAGTTATGGGGTTAATTGATTGATGGGGCCTTCTGCTTAATTAAATACCGTGACAATATAGCATTTTGGCCGTTCTGTTTCTTTCAAGAATCCACTTTAGGTTAATTGGTAGTATTAGAAAACTTGAGGGGGTTAAAAATAGGGGTATATTTGAAATTTTTAAAAAGTTTGGGGTGGCCCATGTAGGTCCGTGTAACCTTTGGGGCTTGAAGAGTTGAAGTTGCTATGCTGCACCAAACCATAACTGGCAGCAGCAAAGCCCTTGTTGCACTATGCAGGTCAAATACCTTTCTAGAATACTGGTTGGCCTTGTTTAAGAACTAGTTAGGCCTCAGTTTGAATAACAAAATAGTGAATTGAAGCGCAAGAAACTATACATCAGAAAACTGCAGCAGTTTCTTGAGCTTAACTATCGTGGTAATCTTACATTTCTGTTGTGGTATTCTATAATAGAGATATTGCAACGATTGATTGGTAGCCGGAACATCTAGATTGTCGGTTTGCTCATCCTAATGTGCTTTGTTAATTAGCGTGTATTTGATTTCCCTCATCTTTGATTCTTAAGATCTTGTGGTTGTTCAAGGTAAAAAAAAAAAAAAAAAACTACAGCGGTATCCACTTGCTATGGTTGCTGGCAAAAGTCTTGACCTACATTTTCCCCACAAACGTTGCTATCAGATACATGGTTCTGAGAGGCGACAGACATCCCGTCAAAAATACACTTCTTGGCATTGACAGGATAAGAAGAGAATATTCCTATAAAACTTGCTGTAGTTGAATTTGAAGAGGCTGCTTCTGAACCAAAAATATGGTTGAAAGGAACAGATGCTTGCCTGTGAAAGGCTTGATTTAAGTTCCAGTATATCCAGTTCAAAGATGCCATCAGTGGTGGCGAAGAATCAAACACTTTCCTAGAAACTGCTATCCAACAAGGAAACTTAAGAGGAGAGTGGGAAGTTCGCCCACTACATGTGCTCAGAAAGGGGAATGTTTGACTCTTCCTCTTAACTTTGGAACAGACAAGGTTTATTTTGGGCCTTTAGCCCATGATAGCACCCCCAAAAAAAAAAAAAAAAAAAAAAAAAAGAATACAATGACATTGCTCAACTCATTAGAATTCTACCAAAAAAGGAAAAAAGAACAGTGATATTGCCCATTATATTCTCCAGCCTTTTTTGGTATGCCAACCACGTAATTAGAATAACATATAGTAGTCAAATACCTAACAATGTGCAAGAGTTTAATCTCTAAAGGCAAACCAAAATTGACAACTGGAAGAAATTTACTAAAGACAACAAAAAATGTCTCATTTTATTCAAAGGAAAACATCCATCGAGAACAATTTGATTGATTCCCCGAGGCCGTAACAATCAGGGATCCTTCACAATTCTCTCAACTCGAACAAGAACAGAAAACCCCCAAAGGGACATAACTAAGTAAACAAACAATCACACCAACTGATAAGATGACCAAATTATTAAATTTGGTCAAAGTTAAATGAAATTGAAAACAAATTCCATTACTTGGAAAGTAAATTGATGAAAAGACATCATATCCTCCATTTTCCTGGAAAGTGAATCAATGAGAAGATATCTTAAGGTTGAGGGACTTGTTAATCCATGCCTTCCAGCTCCCACTCCCCCTTCTGGGTAATTGCTGCAGTGGATCTTCCATCATCCGCCACTTTCAGATGCGGTGGCTTCTTGCATAGCATAAAATTGCGAGCTCCCAGCGATCCAATTGTTTCCCACGGGCTTATAGCTGCAATCAAATTCCACCAAACTTACAAACGTCAAACCCAAATTATGCAAACATACGCAAAAAAGGGACACAAGTTGTTCTTCCTGTTTTGGAAAATTAAACGGGTTTACGAGTTTCGAACAGAATCAGAATAATTTCCTACAAATTAAATACAAACTAAGGTAGGTTTCAAATTCCAAAACAAACAAACGACAAACAAATAATTGAAAAAAATTGGGTTTTGGAATAAGCAGCTTACCCTCAGACCCAGCATTGGGGCAATAAAGCAAAAAATCATTAAGATCAGAGCCTAGAATTGGAAGGCGACCCTCACGCGCATAAGACTTCAAGGATGTATCAATAACAGCAGCCACTAGCTCCTCCTCGTTAACAACAAACCGGATCGGTCCTGCACTCCCCAACACCGTCACGCTAATCAAGAACCTGTTGCCCTTGGCTGCCTGGTTCTTCTTCTGCTTGTAAAGAAGCATCGTATTTTTTTTTCCTTCTTCAAAAACCAACAAAAAAAAAAGCAAAATCTAAACAACAAAAAAATTGTTTTTTTTTCCTTCCTTAAAAAAAAAAAAAAAATCAACAACTGGGTTTTTTTGTTATTAAAAATCAGCAAGAACAAAAACGATTTTTGTTGGTTTTTCTCTGTTTACGGGTCGACACCGATGCAGCGATAGTACCAGCCTTCCTTGCAAGATCCGAAAGCGAAAGCAGAAGCCGCAGAGATAACGCCCGCCCTTGATTGACAAAGGGAGAGCATGTAATTACTACTACTTCTTAAGATTTCTACCATTCACAACGATAACAATTTGGTCTTCTTTTTCTTTGATGATCTATTTCTACACAACAAAGAAGCACAAAAGCTAAATTAATTGGGTTAGCTTCTGCCCTCTCTTTTTTCCCTTTTGATGGTGAGAGATATGAGGAGAGATTGAGATCTGAAAGAAAACGGTGGAGTGCTTTTCTTAGGGTCTTTTTATATGAAGATGTAAGGAAAGGAGAAAGGAAAAGGGCTCCGAAGGAGATGAGGACTAGGGTTAGGGTTTGATTGTTGTTTGTTTTTGACGGGGTATGCTAATTAAAGAGAGAGATTTTCTGCTAATGTGAGCGTGGTATTTATTGTTGGCGGCAGTTACTTAACGCCGACCGAACCTGACAACAAAGACTACAGCGGAAACCAACCCTCTCGCGATGGCAAACACGTTTTTTTTTCAAAAATTTGTTTCCTTTTTATTCCTACCTCCTTGCTCAACCGAAGCAGGCCATTGCTTCTTTATTATTATTTAATGCGAGCACTTGCTGGCTTGCCTCCGTTCGAATTTACTACAACTTGCAAGCACTGTTAAATGTTTTTATTTAATTAATTGCTAGTTGCTAAAGATTATTCACTCTTTTTTATCAACAAAATTATGGATAAATATCTCAATTTGTTATTATATAATAATTTGATTCTTTAATTTATCATTATGTTTTTAATTACATATATTATGTTTTCGAATAATATTTAAGTTTGCAATTTGTTTTTCTAATCAATTTTTTTGACCATCGATAATTTTTATAACTAAAATATTCCTTACTAAAATGAAAAAAAAAAATGCTTCAAGTCACATAACATGCATGTTTTATGTTTTAAATCTTAAGATTTTTTTTCCTTTCGGTTAAGGATATTTTGATTAAAAAATTTACTCATAATAAAAAAAATTGATTGGAATGATAGATTAGAGATGTAAACATTATTTATAGACATAATATATATAATTAAAAAGGTAAAGATAAATTGAAAACTCATCTTATTTATAAAAACAGATTGAACTATTAATCATAAAATTATTCAAACTTCTTGATTCTTGAAATAGACGATCGGTTTTAATATATATATATATATATACACACTTTACTTTACTTTTTTTTCTCGCTTCATTGAAACTCTTTTACTCTTAAAAATTTATTGATTTAAATCATTCATTAACTCGTTCATCCGACGTAATATGTTAAAATTAACATGTGACATAATGAGTCTCGAAAAAAAATTATTCATCCAAAAAAAATTAAGAACTAATTTTTATAATAAAATAATACTTAAAATAAAACAAGAAAGGAAAATACCAAAATGCCTCACCGTCATTATTTCCCAACCCATGCATTCCGGTTCTCTCTTAAAAAGAAAAGAGGGTCATGTTGTTACCTCCAACTTTATTAATAATTGAAAAAGATAAGGAGAATTAAAAACCTCACATTACAAACAAATGAGCAAAAAGTACGAGTGACAAAGAGCCACATGCACTTAAGCATCAAATAAAAAGACTAAACAAAATAGCTAATACATCAAATATTACAACTACTAAACTAATAGGGATAACCCATACAAGAAGTGCCTAAAAAGGCAACAAACAAACCATGCAAGCCAAGCCTTAGCTATCCTTGCTAAGTAGCTCAAAACGTTTCTAACCCTAAATTGTCTTCGCGCCAAATTGATTTGCAAACTTGTGGGAGATCATTAGCCGAATGAAAAATTTGAGTAGAACAATAACTCTATGCGTGATCGACCGGACGATCCGTTAAAGAATTTCCTTCCGGAGCATATGAACTACATTGGTTCCCTATAAAAAGGCCTTACACTTTCTAAACAAGTATGAGAGTGACCAAGGGCATCGAAAGGAATTTTTAATCACCTCAACAATTAATCGCGAGTCCAATTCAACTATATTAATTACTAAATTCAAATCCAAACAAATTTAAAGTCCTTGTAAAATATCCGAAGCCTCCCTCATGTTATTGGACCCCCGATCATAGAAACCCGAGTAGGCCAATATCACATCACCTTTCTAGTTATGCACCACACCACCCCCGCACAACGAGGGCCCCTAACAAAGCCATCTATGTTTAGTTTTAGCCGATTAACTTCCCGTGGTATTTATCTAATCCATTGATCCAGATGAAACATTAATTGACATAAAGATACGCCAAGAGCTTGAATGAAAATTTTATCATGAAAATTAAGTAGCTTAGTTGGAATAAGTAAATTAATGAGGTAAAAAATCCATCTCTTTACCTTAAAGATAATTGTTGCTGTAAACATTGCAACCCTATCATAAACAATGCGATTTCGATTCTTCCAAATCTCCTCGAGTGAGTGCAAATAGATCACCATTTTGGTAAAAGACTTCGATGACAAATGGTACTAATAGAAAGCCAGTTAGTAAATAGATTCGTGATCCTTGAAGAATTTTATCCAATATTAAGTTGAGATGTAAAATGTCTCTAAACCTCAATAGCTACCTAACTCGAGATGAATAAATGCTTAATAGTCTCTCTTTCAAGATCCCTATAACACCTACATTTGGAAGCCAAAGTTATGCCATAATTTTAAACACGTGAGTCCATCGCTAGAGCCCCATTAAGCACCTTCCATACAAAAAAGCTAATCTTGGTTGGGATCTATTTGTTCCATAGTGACCACCACAACACAAAAGAAGAGTTACTAGAACTTAAGTAATTTCATTATATAAAAGTTTTGAAAACACCATTATCCGCTAAGGTGAAAACCAAATAATCTGGAAGACCAAATTGCTATAATATATTCTCTAATGCCATACGGAATCATGGCGAGTAGACCATTTCGAATCTCTATTGAAGTAATAGCCTTGACCACCGACGCCTTTGGGGGAACAGTCGAGCTCAAATCCGAGTTAAAACAAAACGATCGTAAGGAGATAGACACCTCGTCAACAATCCATTTGGATACACTACCAAGATTCTTAGTATGAATAATTAAGGATTTTCATATGAGCAAACCCAATTTATGTTTAATAACATCAAACTCACACGAGTGTCCATACTTTGCTTGTCAAAATTGGCCCCAAAAAGACTTCCCTTCTAAGTAGGACCAAACCAGGTTTGTCTTTCATCGAATTCATAACCACTATAAGGTCTTTGACACTACGACCCTCTTCCGAGATCGACTTAAAGATTTAGGACCACCTTACCCAATGATGTCTATTGCTATTTCAATAACTCTTAAAGAAATTAGAGATGTATCATTATAGTCGAGAGGTAGTGGCCACAGAAGGAGAAAAAACCCATCGAGTAGATGGAAATAAATAAGAGGACACTTTAAATTGGAGTTGTCTTACACCTTATCGATAATAATTGACCTTTTCAGCTAACTAGCTTTGTTTTGATTTTATCCTCCAAGTGGAGGAAATCTTCGAATTTAGCATGCCTTTTGAAAAAGAGGATGCGTAGGTACATGAGTGGTAGTTTGTTTTCTCTAAAATTTATCCACCTCCGAATAAGACGATATTTGGTGATATGAAGTTTAATGCTACATAAAAAGCTACTCTTAGAAAAAATTAATTACCCGATCGTTTGCCTTTGGGTATTGTTTTAGTAAACCTATCAATCTCTCCACGATTTTTTCGAGCTATTACCAAAAATTAGCATGTCATTAGTAAAAAGACAAGTGAGATACAACTAATGCATTAAGACTTGAATGGTAAGGAAGGATCCGTTTCTTATCAACAAGGGCATTAAGGTTCCGATTGAACACATTTTGAGCTAGGATGAAGAGAGTAGGGGATTGTGGGTTGATACGGACACCTTTATCCGATTTGAAGAAACTATAAGATAGTCCATTTAGCATAAGAGTGTACCATTAGTTAGAAATACACTTGAAGATAAGAGAACACCATGAATTTGAGAAACCAAACCATTGCATCACCTTGATTAAAAACGCCTAATTAACCCTATCATAGGCTTTTGACATGTCGACTTTGAAAACTAAATTTCGTCCTCTCGATTTTTTGATCAATGTTATAAACTAACTCTCGAGCAATTGCCACACTCTAATGAATCAATTTGCCTTTCACAAAACCTATTTGTTTTTTATAAGGATTGCCCTTAGACGTTGAGAAACAACTTTACTAAGAATCTTGTAAGATACATTATAGAGACTAATTGATCTTAAATGATTAAAATACTTCGGGATTGATATTTAGGAATTAAAACCAAATTAGTTCCTATGATGGATTTCGGGATCTCACCATCCTAAAAGGTTTTTTGCACTACCTTATAGATATTTAGGCCAACCACCTCCTAATAAGACTAGTAAAAAGAAGCTAAAAAACCATCCAAACTTAGTGCACCTGCAAGGTCAATACTAAAAGTAGCCTATTTAATCTCTTCATTCAAAGATGGAGACATAAGCCAATCATTTTGAGAAATAGTCATCAAAGAAGGTATAACTCAAGTAGTGAGTAATTTGGCACCATTGAGGAGGAAGTAAATAATTTCAAGAAGTGATGTACAATAGCCTCACCAATTTTAAAATCATCATCATAAAGTACCTCATCTAATAGCAAGTTGAAATGATTATGAGGAACTTTATGCCAAATGGAAGAATGGAAAAAAGCTTTGTTTTTATCTCCTACTTTTAGCCAAGATACGTGCCTTCTCTTGTAAGAATAATTCCTTTTGCAGCACTAGATTTGAGAGATTAGACTCAGCTTGCATAAGTATGAAAAAAGTAATGACCGAATGACTACCAATCAACTCTTCTTCTAAGATGATCACCCTATCCCGGGCATCATGGAGGTGTTTTTTAATGTCTCCAAAAACCTCTTAATTCCAAGCTCACAACATTGCATCCAATGACTTCAAATTCAAGTGTATAGATAAGAACCAATTCGAAAGATCACAATGATGCCAAAAAGGTTTGATAAGTTATAGGAAGTCTAGATGACCGAACAACATATGTTTAAAAGAGTATCTAGCCAGCATAGTTAAAGGAGACTTTAAGGAAAGAAGTAGAGGTAAGTGGTAAAAAAAAAAAACTCTCGGAAGATGAGAGCAATCAAGAGTTGAGAGAGACGTTACCCAACTAGCATTGATAAGGTAGCAATCCGGATGTTGCCAAATCCTAGAGAGGCCATGATGATCATTTCACCGGATAAAAGAGTTACTTGAGAACCCAACATCCAATAAAACATTTCCTTGAATAAAATAATTGAAATCACATATGGCCCAAGCATTGGATGGTTCCTTCGCCTTTTTTGAAATCTTAATGATGATATTAAAATCACCCCCTACCACCAAAGAGAAGAAGTATCCACAGATGAAAGAGAATTCCATAAAGAGATACATGCCACTATGTCACATACGAGTTTAGACTTAGAAAATTAAAATTGGATATTCTATGATAGAAAACCGATATCCATAATGAAGGCATAACTACACACATTAAAAAAAAAGAGACGAAAAGTGAGTTCTTCTAAAGAAACCAAATATGAGAGTTTACTTGATTACTATGTAGGTGATGCTCAAAGTTAAGAAATCTTTCAAGAGACTCCAGTTCATCACCATGTAGTTTTGGTTTAAGAATAACTAAAAGGGAGACTTTGTGTTGTCAAACCAAACTCTTAAGAAATCTTCTTTTTGCTAAGGCACTAATGCCTCTAGCATTCCGGATGAGACTGGACATTATTGTAAGCAAAGGAAAAAGTCATTATGGTATGAAGAAGACCTAGTGTTCCTTTTAGAACTAGACACCCCTTATTTAGCTTTTTTTTCTTTTTCTTAGTGGTACGAGGTAAAGCAATTGCACCAATAAAAAGATGACGCAAATAAGGCCACTAGTGGCTTGTAGTAGCTTGAATTCCGTAAGTTTAGATTTAGCCATCTTTTCTTTTCATTGATACTTATTCACCTTCAAAAGGGAGGTAGCTTTTGGGAGTTAACTTAACCTACTTTCTCACTCAAAATTGTGTCATCAAAAAATCGAGTACCCAAGTGTGGAGTAGGCTCTATTATGCTTAGAATGTCAAACCTATTACCATAGGAGTGAACATGGTTTAAATCCTTATCAACGCATTTCTCACCACCTAAACTAGTCTTAGACCGATGAGAGACAACCTCAAAAGAGCAAATCGTGCCAACCGAACGATGATCCACCATATGAGAAGGATTATCCTTTATCTTAGATTCCGAAGATGAAAAAGATGAAAGCGAGCTTATGTCGATACAATTAGTCTCATAACCCACCAAAGGATGTGAAATCGAAATTAAAGGAGAAGCAAAAGCCATAATCTTCTCTTTTTTTAAAAAAAATAGATAAAGATAACTTATCGAAGATAGTCTTAACTAGAATTACATTTTGGTATGTATGAGGTAATGGCACATAAGCTATTTTTTTCTTCGAAATGACGAGTGTCCTTGATATCCGATTGGGGAAATTTTTTGAAAATGAAGGTTGAGTAACCCGAGTAGACGAACCGATTTTTTTGGAACACCACATTTTTTACATCGATTGTACTCGTATGGTGCCTTTATATTAAGTAATATGAACAAAAATCCAATTTACCTTCGAGAATAATTTTTTTACCAAAAACCCCAGCTACGCTCCGTACCCACGAAATCCACACTACATCTAGAATATCCTCGGTTAAATTCATTTCCACATAAATACGAGCATGGATAGCATGGAAGAGGTTAGCAGATCCTCTCATCAATCCGAAGAAACATTCCGGAAGAATAACAATCTTACGCAGACATTGCCTCCGAGAAAAAGAAACGAAAAGATAGGTAGCCTAACCCTCACTGGCAGCCACGGAGGATTCAGATTTGTAATTAAAATTCTCATCCTACTTGAATAAACGGAATGGGAATGTCTAAATCACGTGGGCTTGTGATTCCAATGACCATGTTTTGGCAAAGTCAATGCTAGAGAAGGTCCCGATGATGGTATGTCGAGGACCCAAAAGGCCAATAATTGGCTCAATTTATGGCCCCAATTTTGATGTGTGTGATCTCAAATGGTATTTATTGCTGGCTTAATTCTAGCAAACTTTTCCACAAGTGCATTGTCGGACGAGTCATGAAGCATGTTGAAATTCTTGTGTAGAAAATTCAATGGTCGGATGTCCTTCATGGGAATATTTAGGTATATGAGGGATTGAGAGGGGCACAACATTACTATTATTAAGAGGCTTAGAAGAAACGGTGTTAGGCATTGCACCGGTGAAGGATAAGTGATGAGGTAGGGAGGGGAAAGTTCGAGAAGGAGGTCGCCACATGTGACGACAAGGGGGTCGTAGGAAGCCAATCATTGGAGAAAGCTAAGTTTAGAAGTCCTTATCTTAAGTGTTTAGTTCTTTCTCCTCACTATCTTTTTTTTTTTTTTAATTTTCACAAATAAGACATATTAGCTTTTTTAAACTCACAAATGAAGTCCTACGATGTTCGAAAATTCAAGAAAGTTATATTGTTGGTGGATCAAATTATGGTTGAAAATTCATTACATGGGCATGTAGTAGACAAGTTTATTATAAAGTGACAAAAGAATCACATAAAAATACGTTCAAGAAGTCAAGAGCTAGTGATGTTCCCATTGCAACTATGACATAGTAACATAGAAGTTGCATCTTTGAAATGTAATCATTTTGCATAATAAAATATAAAATTTGACAAGAGAAGCCCTCAGTAATGATGTGGGTGCTTCACAAGTACATATTGCGGACCGATTTATTTTAGTAATTTAGATATGTATAAATTAAAAATTGATGGGATTTTTGTTCTAGTTGAATTGGTTGAGGTTATTGGATCTAGTTTTTTTTTTTGGATTAATATTGTTCCATAGAAGTGATTATTTTGATTTATTGGTAGATTTGTGATAGATATCCATGAGATAATTGTTGTGATTGAAGGGTATTTGATTACATCCAATGTGATTTTCTTTGATTATTTAAAGTATAAAATTATTGTTATTTTCTTTAATTTTCTAAAAAAAAAATTGAAAAAAAATGAGGAAAATTTTTAGTCTTAGTAATCGTTTAAGTATTGAAGATGGAAAATTTAATTGGATTTTGGTATTTTCCTTTTCTTTTTTTTGTTTTAAATATTAGTTTATTATAAAATTTGATTTGTATTAATTTTATTTTTTATACAAAACTATTTCGTGGGTCTCACAATATCACATGTCCATTTGTAATGGGTTTCTATTAATTTTAATACGTCACATTAGATGAATAGTTAACGAGATGATTTGAATTAATAAATTTTTAAGAATAGAGGGTTTCAATCAATCCAAAAAAGAATAGAGAATCTCAAAAAAAAAAAAAAGAATACAAAGATCAAATATACGACAAACTCAATTTAAATTCTAAAAGAATATACAATTAGTATCGCACATAATAAATGTTCAAGAACATAGTTAGTCTAAATTAGAGTTTATTTAATTCAATTGATCAATGTTATTTCTCACAATTTAGTTTTCGTGGAGTACTTGGTTTGACTTATGTTACCGATTTTTATGGTCTTGATGCAATAAAAGTTTTTTTGAAAGAAGATTTTATCACTCTTTCTAATGTGATGAGTGTTGTTCTCAATTTAATTTCTAATATTGTTGCTATTGTAGAAATGACCACTCGTACTATATTAATTTGCATAAAAGATTAAGTCTAGATTAGCTAGTAAGGACCTCCTAAAGATTAGATAAAATTAAACATAGATGGAGTCTTATGTAGTTCTATTGGCACATCTATAATTGGGAGTGTTTTACGAAATGATTCGGATACCTAAATCCAAAACTTTTTTTCACATTAAAGTTTATTCAGTTCTTTGTGTAAAACTTTGAAGAGTCCTTGTTAGATTGAAAATGGTATAGTCAGCAAGCTATAGGAGATTGTTATTTGAATCTCACTCAAAGTTAGCCATTTAGTTATTGTCTTTTTAAGGCATTCATCATTGGGTTTATAATTATCTTGTCCACACTTTTATATCTCAATTTTGACCCCTACACCGGTATTAATTTAACAAAAAAATTACAAATTAAATTACATAGTGCATAGTTTTTAGATTTTTGCATGATTTTTAAGTATCTTATTTTAAGTTTTAAGAGTTAGGATTATCCCTAATTTTTAGGACAACAAAAAAAATGAGAAGAAAAGAAAATAGCTGGAAAAAAAGAAAGAGAAAAAATAATAAGAGAAAAAAGAAAAAAAGAGAAAATGAAATGAAAAATGAGAAAAAAGAATGAAAAATCAAGTTAATAATTGAGGGTTTCAAGGAAAAATAATTTGCAAATATTGTCTATCAATATGAGAATAGTAGAAGTCTAAAAAAGGCAATCATAAACAATTAGAGACTCATATCGTAAAAATTGAAAGACGAAGGACCAAAGCAAGCACAAATTAAGCGGCTTGATCAAAACAATTAAAAAGATCAAAGGTCAAATTGAAAAGATGTACAAGTAAGAGGATCTAGTTAAAATAAGAAAAAGAGAACAACTTGGCGTTCTCCAACTCGTCAAAAACAATTCCCGATCCATCGTTCAATGTTTTCTCTAGCTAAAAGACAACCTTCTGTCGACAAAGATGATCTCGTTGGCACTTGTATGAGCAAGAATCATGCCTTCATCTGTTCCAAAATTATGCCTTGGTATTCTCTCCATGCCAGCACCTACAAAGAACAAAGCCACCTTATTATCCTTCCCTCTTTTGAAGCCTTGAAAACAACTACTTTAAAAACACCTCTCCATCAACAACACAACTTAGGCAACGAAAAAGAACAATAGTGAAGCCTCTCTTTCATTTTAAAAATTAACGAGTAATGATCCTTTAATGGAAAGAAGGGTTAGGATAAAAAAGAGAGAAATATATATATATACACACATGCTTAGAGAGGGAGAATTAAAAAAAAAAAAAAAGGCCGATGAATGATAATGAGAGAAAGAAAAGAAAAAGAGTGAGTTTTGAGAGGCAAAGAGAAGGTTTTAGAGAGATATTTTGAAAAATATATTTAGAGAGGATCTTAGGGTTCACTAGAAAAAGAAAGAAGAGAAAAAGATAGAGAAACACAAAGAAAAAAAAATTATCGAAGGTTTTACTTTGTCGAAAAAGAGGATAATCTGTTGTTCCTAACACACAAAAGAAACATAATTGAATAATAAAAATTAACATAATAAATAAATAAATTTATCATAAGTTAAGATGGACAAAAAAATTGAAAATTTTTACCTTAATCGTCAAAGAATTCGGGATTAAAATTACATTACCATATGTTATGGTATAAAGATAACCCAATTAGTAAAATAGTTTTACCATAATTTTTTAGGTGATTGGCTCGAGGCACAACATGTTGCTTTTTTAAGACAATACGCGTCATCTCGTAGAATTTATTTGATGCAACGGATCAAGAATATATTGCACGTTATTTCGGGGATACAACAAACTTAGTCACCTTGCTCGTGTCTTAATAAATTTGCACCATTTGTGAGGCTTGAAACTCTAAATATATTAACACCAATCTTATCTAAAAATAATATAAATAAAAATTATATTGCCTTTTCAAGTGAGAATATAAAAAATAAAACAAATGTTATATATATATTAAACAAAGCAAGAGAAGTGTTGCATATTTTCCTTTTCACCAAAAGTATCTCCTCTACTTTTGTCAAGAAAACAAGCACATAGATGCTGTCTCATTTGTCAAAAACATGACGCACATATACATAGCTACAGAAAAAGAGTTGCTTATTGCAATTAAAAACAAACGATAAATAATGATTTTTCTTTTTAATATTGTATTTATATTATTTCCATAACAGTAAAAAAAAATGGTAAGTAACATATGCTTTAATTATTTTTATTAGCTATTAATATAACTTTAATATTTTATTAAAAAATATGCCAACATAATCCATCCAAAAGCAAGACCCAAACAAGTATTTTTTCTCTCCCCTTCTCTTTTATCTCTGTCATGACTAGCTAATGAAATGTACATCATCGTTGTTAGCTTTTTAAATATCAAATAATCCCTAAGCATAACTCAGCCGACTGGTGACCATGGCTGTCAAAATCGAGATTAATAATGGTGGGTAGGGAGTCTTTCAGTCCATTTTTCTTGCTATTTTCGCACATAGAAGAGCCACAACTTACACCTATTCATAGAGGATAGTTTGGCTAGAATTCTACACTTTGGCTGCAGCCATTTAGGAGAAGAAACTAGGCAAAAAATGATCAGAAAAGGTGTTGGTTGAAACAGGACTTTTGACAGAAAATGGAAGATAAAAAACATAAACTTTGGGT